AGTTAAGGGGAAGGTTTTTATTGCAGATGTGAGAGAAATAACACCCAGACACATATGGAAGAGTCCAGAGCAGAGAGAGAAGAAAACTAAACTGAACATGGCCAGCAGACTAGACATGGCCAAGACTGTCTGCAAGAATGGGGAGGACAGCAGGGAGTAGAGAATAGAGAAATCATAGAGACAGGAGCAGAGCATAAAGAGAACATGCTGAGAATAGCAGGGCTTTAAGAGGGAGGCCTGTGAACTAGAGGGAATTTAGGGAGGGGGAAGAGGTGAGAAGGGCTAGGATTCTAGCATGGACTTTGAAATGTGTAACAGGTATTTGTGATTCTGTAGGAGCCTGGAGGCCAGCACACACTTTGATATGCTGATAGGTGCCACAGGTAGCTAGCTATGTGTTCCTTCTGCCAGAGGAAAGGAAAATGACTCTTGGGTAGTTTCTGAGAAATACTGGCTTTTATCTATCCCCCAGAGATCTTCCTATAGTCCAGGTTGAGCTCAGTTCTGGATATTTTGACTGCCTTTTGGAGATTGAGGAGTTGGAATTTCCTTTGGACCTGACACCTGACATGAATAATGTCACAGCCAGTTTGACTGCCTTTAGCAGCAGATATTTCTAATAGCAGTGCTTTTTTTGGTTTGGTTTGGTTAGTTGAGATGAGGTCTTACTATATATCCAGACTAGCCTGGAATATGAATAATAATAGACTGTATATATACACACACCAGCTCAGATAGAGCTAAGGTTACTTGTCTTGGAATTACAATATAGCTGGCATGGAGCTTCCCTCCTAGGGGTGGTTTTTATCAATAGGAAACGTTTGGTGTTGTCTGGAGCGTGTTCTGTCACAACTATGTAGAAGGGGGCTTGAGAGATGGCTCAGCAGTTAAGAGCACTGACAGCTCGTCCAGAAGACGTGGGTTCACTTCCCAGCACCCACACAGCGACTCACAGCTGCTTGTAACTCCAAGATCTGACACAGACATGCATGCAGGAAAAGCACCAGTGCACATAAAATAAAACCAACTATGTAGAAGGGACAGTATTCATGGATGGAAGCCAGAGATGCTACCAAATGTTCTCCAGTACACCAACTTCTTTCCTGTTACCTAATAAATGATCTGACTTGGAATACCAGTAAGTGTGGAGGTTGGGAAATATTGAGTATAGGGCTGGAGAGATGACCCAGCGGTTATGAGTACTGGCTGCTCTTGCAGATGATTCAGTTCCTAGCACCTACATGACATTTCGGAGCTTCATTTCCAAGGTGTCTGACACTTTTTCTGTCCTCTGTAGGCATCAGGCACACACATGGTGCACATACATTCACCTAGACAATAAAGTTAAAAAAAATGCATTTTGGGGGGTTTTAAAAAGTTGTGGGGTTTTTTGTTTGTTTGTTTTGTTTTGTTTTGTTTTGTTTTTTTGAGACAGAGTCTCTCTATGTAGTCTTGACTATCTTGAAATTTTCTGTGTATTCCAAGCTGGCCTTGAACTCACCAAAATCTGCCAGCCTCAGCATCCCAAATCCTCGGATTAAAAGCATGCACTATCACTCCTGGCAAAAATAATTTTTTAAAAAATAAAGCCAGGAATGGAGGTGCAAACCTTTAATCCCAGCACTTAGGAGGCAGAGGCACATGAATCTTTGTGAGTTGGAGGACAGCCAGAGCTACAAAGTGAGACCTTGCCTCCAAAAATAAATAAATATTTAAGAAAGAAACACTGAGTCTATCTAGTTTATTACATGCGAAAACCTTTACACCTTAGAAGTCTTTCAGCTGTCTCTCAGGATTGGTCTCTCTGGCATTCTGAGGACGAATGCCCCTCTGTAAATACCTCATGGCTCAGTCCATTAACTGGTGCTGGCACATTGCCTGCACCTTCAGCCAGAACTGCTAAATGGTGGCTTGGATTTTGGGGGTTTGTTTTTTTAAACAGGACAATACTTTTTCTTCCTGATGTTTCCAAGAGACGGGCTCAGTTGGCCAGCAATTCTTGCAAAAGCAAACCTGGTGACAATACTCTAATATGTTGCTGGCATCTTTCACTCCCTAATCTGTGTTTACATGGCACTAAAAATTGACTCTCTGATGCCAAGGTCTGTTTCTGTGTAGTGCTCTGGCACTGTTGGCCGAGAGTCCCTCCCTAGTTGCTTTACTACCATGCACATGTATATAGCACACAACTGGTTTTCAGAAGCATGGGCTGTACAGGACGCCTCTGAAGTCATTGTGTCACCAGTTACACAGCTGGATGTGGGTTCCCGAACTGGGTTCCTGGTTGTAGATCTACTCTCCCCCACAATAGTTTGCTTTTTTCAGTTTCTCTTAGAAACTAGTGTTTAGTTCATAATACATGAAAAAAACCAATTTACTTTCTTCCATTTGTGGTTAGATATATGCTTTTCTAGTAAGTTAGAAGAAATGGTAAGGAACTAAAGCAATTTGAGACTAGCTGTTAAAGGAGATGTCCGTGATCTAGATAATAGATGTCCAAGCCTGGGGAACAATTTGGAAGTGCAGTGGAATGGAGTCTATATCAAAATGAAGAGTAATTCCTTCCAGGGAAATGGCAGACCTAACTAAAATGGTTTAAATGACTTGCATCATTAATGAGGCCAAGAAAATCTGAGCACAGTTCTTTTAAGAAAATCCTACAGACTTCTTCTATTTTATGGGATTCTAGAGTCATAAAACCCACTAAAATCTTTCAGAAAGGAAAAGGGAAGAAGGAAGGAAATACTACAGACATCCACGCCATCTTTGAGGGGGAGGTTTTGGGAGTTTGAGATAATGTTTCTCTATATAGCCCTGGCTGTTCTGAAATGCACTCTGTAGACCAGGCTGTCTCAAACTCAGAGATCACCTGCCTCTGCCTCCCAAATGCTGGGATTAAAGGTGTGCACCACAACTCCTGGTAGCCAAGTCTTTTCTTGACCCAACAATCAGAAAAGTTTTTACATCAGTTTTTTGTTTGTTTGTTTGTTTTTTAACTGAAAAGATACATTTTTTTCAGATGTGAAGGTCAGAGAACAATTTGTGGGAGTCAGTTCTCTCACTGTATGGGTCCAAGAGATGAAACTCAAGCCTTTGGCCTTAGCAGCAGGTGGTTTATCTGATGGAGCCATCAGCAGGTGTTTGAGGTCAGTGGTCTCACTGATAACACCTGCAAATACTGTTTCTCCTGCTTTGGGGTAGATCACAATTGTTCAGAAGGATGTTTGATTTTGCAAGACTTTAAGTATTTTAGGACTGTCAATTTATTTACAATAGTATTTTTCAGCTTTGCTAAGTTTTGAGGGCTCTTATTTTTTATTATTTATTTGTGTGGGAGGTTGGAGAGAAGGAGAGCGCACATGCCTGGGGGTCAGAGGTTATCCTTCTGTCCTTTGGTTTTCTCCTTATTTCTGCTGCTATGCTGTGTATAGGAGCTTCCACCCAGTTCTCCCTGCCTCCCCTGCTGCTGTAGAAGGGCTGGGATTAGAGGTGACACTACTATATCCAGATTTTCTTTCTTTCTTTTTTTTTAAAAATGAGTTCTGAGGATTGAACCGAGCCCATCAGGTTCTTATGGTAAGCACTTTTGTCTGCTGAGCCATCTTCCTGGCCTAGAGGCTTTTTATTTAGTTTTAGCCCCATAAGCCAATTTTCCTCTCCAGGAAGGCAGTATTGGCCATGTTGAAACCACATAACCTAAAAGTGTTACCATCTAGGAAATGAACTGTTATTTGTACCTTTTCTTAGAATTTAAAACTGAGACAGGGACTGTTAATAAACTAATGCTGAAAAATATCTTCTGGTACAGTGACCTCCAGCCCCTGGATGAAAGGAAAAGGAGTAAGTTTCTTATACTTCATGGTTGTGTAGAGGGCAGTTTCTCTTTTGATCATTTGAGGAAAGAGGAGAGAAGCATGAGAAGTAGCAGAGTAATAAATGTAGCTCTGTAAAAGGAACACATAGAGATGTTTTCACAGTGACACTCTTAGAGGGCACAGGCTAGGTGATGCTGGTGCATCTGGCATAAGACTGTGCTGTCCCAAGGCTAGTCAGCACTAACAAGATCCGCAGCTGAGAATACCAGCTAGCCTGTCTTGCATGCAAGGATCTTCTATTCTCCTAAGATTTCCTTCTGTCTGATCAAATGGGTGGTTGTGTATGAAATGCACCTCAGAAGGAGGAGGAAGAAATGACATGTTCATGTAAATGAAATACAACTGCAAATTAAAGTGTCACCCTCTTAAAAAAATCAATTTTTTATTTAATTGGTTACCAAGGAAAAAATGTCATACTGAAGTGTATATCTCAGGGAAAATTAAACTGAAATATTACAGGTGAATCTGGAATTCAAGGAAGTTCTTGGAGGGGGAATTATAAAAAAATTGCTTTAATAAAAATATTCTCATGCTACAAAGGTAGGTTCATAAATTTCTGCTGTATTATATGCCAGCGTTTCAAAAGAGATTAACAAATATTACCTCATTTGTTCTTTACTGCCTCCTCCAGTCACCGTGTGTTGACTGCCTCTTCGCTGGAGGAAGCCTCCTTTTGAGATGTCTTATTAGGAAAAAGGTCATTTACAAAGGAGGAACTGCTTCTCCCTAAGGAGCACTGCATGCTACAAACACATCCAGAACTGAAATTAATTCATCTGCTTTTTCTGTTTTGTTTTCAAACGTCTTTGCCGACATTGCCTGAGAACTCATCTGCCTCTTCAGATGATGAGCATACCCTTAAGCAGTGCAGATATTCAGGATCCGACACTCCAGTAACAATGGGAGGGACTTTGAATGGGGCTCCATTTCCACATAGAATTGTTTCTTGTGAAAGGTCGTGTCTAGTTTCTCTTCTCGGTGACTTGTTGTCATCCATACCTCTACAGCTTTCTTAGGCTTTTTCCCTCTACTGATTCCTGCGTTCCCTTACATTCTGCAGTGGGAACATAGAGAGAAAGAATATAGTGTAGTCTGATGTGCTCTTTTTGTCTTCTCTGTCATCAGGGGCAGTGATTGGAGATGGACAGTCTGCTGTTGCCAGTAACATTGCCAATACTACCTACCGGCTCCAGTGGTGGGACTTCACCAAGTTTGACCTTCCAGAAATCAGCAATGGTGAGTCAGTGTGAAGGTGGAGTCTCCCTGGATTGTCCCTCTCTTAGGGAGTTGTTGACGGCTACACATGTTTCTAAGCTTCTTTCCTCAGCTACCAGTTAAGCAATTCAGAAAATAGTTCAGAGAATGTCTAGAGCAAATCACCCCTGAGGAATTTGTGGAGAAGTTCGTGGAGACTAAAAGATAGATAGATGGAGCTGAGAGAAAGAAAACTGAATATAGGATTTATGAGCTACACCTGTGACCCTTGAGAAACATCATAGTGATTTTAGACTTGTTAACAAATCTAGGTCTCCACGAACCAAATGAGCTAGGTATGGTTAATACCTGATTTATAAACGTTTCTGACCCTTTTAAAGAAACCCATGACCCCATTGTTGAGCACTGCAGACATTTCCTCTGCCTAATGTAGTCCTCGTGCATTTCTGAGAGCTGGTGGTCAGCCCCTGCGTGATGGCTCTAGTGACTGCTGCCCCATCACTGTTAGGGCTCTGTTCTTCTCATGCCAAACCACCACCATTGATGTCACTTCATCTCATTGGTCCTGTTTCTGCTGCTGCATCTCCGTATAATCTGCTGCTTTTTAAATGGAAGTCCTCCAGCAGTCTGGAAGTGCCCTGCCCTTTACCACACGTCTTGTCTTTCAGACCAAACTTCTGTAGATTCCATTTTTCTAGTGTGGTTTTGTATGTTCTTCGTCTTCCTTTAACTTCAGCAATGGGGTGAAGCGAAACAGATCAGAAATTTCATGATGTGAGCTAATGCAGTGATTTTTTGATACATATTCTGCAGCTTTTTAAAGTTACAGTTGCATGTACAATAACTTAACATTCCTTGATAATTGATAGTAACCCAAAATTCAGCAATTTTGTGCTCGTATGTGGCTTGGATCTTTTGAGAATTAAGGCCAGTTTGTATTATCTTCCTGTCATTGCACATCTGGTTCTTGCCTTGGAGCACCTTTATGAGCTTTGATCTGTCCTCTTTGAGTCTAAGGGGTCATCTGCTAATTTGATAAACATCCTTTTTCAGTCTTCCTTCACATTACGAGCAAAAATGGTGAATCAGTCAGAAATTGTAATAAGCTTTCTGTCATGTTTTTGGATTTTTGCCTGCATCAGTTTGGGAACATGAATTATTAGTACTTGGGCTTCACATCTAAAGTCTTTCCCTGTTAAAGATAGTTTCTCAGGGTCTGGAGAGATAACTTGCTAATTCTCCAGAGGAATAAAGTTCAGTTTCAAGCACCAGGGGAAACTCAGAAGTGCCTGTAATTTCAGGGGATCTGATGCCCTCTTTTGGCCTCTAAGGACACCCACACATACATGATATATATCCATTCAAAATGTACACATACTAGGCATGGTGGCACACAGCTTTCAATCACAGAACCTGGGAGGCAGAGGCAGGCAAATCTCTTGAGTTCAAATCCAGCCTGATCTACAGAGCAAGTCCAAGACAGTTAGGGCTACACAGAGAACTTGTCTCAAGAACTCCTCCCCCTCAAAAATATATACACACATATACATAAATAAAAAGTAAAATAATCTTCTAGATAAATAATAAAGACAGTAACCCTGTATAGTGCAGATTAACTTTGAACTGGCTGTCCTCCTGCCTCAGCCTTAAGTGTTAGAGCTGCAGGCATGCACACTATGACTGTTGGAAGCTCTTCTGTTTTCTGTCTTGTGTAAAGTATTGTAAGAGTTTATAGGTACCTTTAAATAATTAAGATATTTTATCTGTGTCATCTTATGATATGCCAGTTTTAATATTCCTGTCAGACAAGGGAAGTGAGGTGAGTTTTTCATGCTTTGTTCTTAGCAAACCCTAAGTAGCAACCATCCATTTTATTCTAATTACCAATAAGCCACATGTCTAATCTCTTTTGTTTGTTTAATTTTTGTTTGGTTTATTACTCTGTGGTTGGATGGTTGGATGCGTGCACACACATGTAGGTATGTGTATGCCACCACACACGCTTAGAGGTCAGAGGACAACTTTCAGGAATCAGTTCTCTTCTACCATGAGTTCTGGGAGTTGGACACAAGTCATCATGTGTGTGAGTAAAGTGCTTTCCCCACTCCGTCACCTGGCTGGCTGGCTGGCGCACTAATCTTTCAGCTCTACTAAGAAGCCAAAGCAGTCCCCCCCCCCCTTCTTAAAACTTTTTTTAAAAAAATATTCATTTATTTATACCAGATCTCATTATGGGCGGTTGTGAGCCACCATGTGGTTGCTGGGAATTGAACTCAGGACCTCTGGAAGAGCAGTCAATGCTCTTAACCACTGAGCCATCTCTCCAGTCCAGCCCTTTCTTATTAAGAACTCATTTGCTTTTTTTTTTTTTTTATTTGATTTTCGACACAGGGTTTCTCTGTAGCTCTGGAGCCTGTCCTGGAACTATCTCTTGTAGACCAGGCCTGGCCTCGAACTCACAGAGATCTGCCTGCCTCTCCACCCCGAGTACTGGGATTAAAGGCGTGCTCTATCACCTCCCAGCCTAGTTTCAGTTCTTACATATCTCTTGAAAGATTCTGTAGGTATGTGTAAACAAATGCAGAATTGTGTTTTCTACCTTTATGTGATCTAAATGACAAAATGCTATAGAACTTTTCTGCACTTCTTCTGTATGGTATATCTCAGTGATCTTCCATATTACTATAAAGAGTTTACTCCTTTGTGTGTGTGTGTGTGTCGCAGGAGCATGTGTGCGTGTGTGTGCACATGTGTGTGCATGTGTATGTCTGCATGTACATACATGCAGAGGCCTGAGCAAAATGTCAGTAGTCTTCCTCAGTTACTTTCCCTCTTACTGCACTGGGCCAGGTCACCATTTCTGCCTAGTCAGAAGGCTCTCAGGATCTGCCTGTCTCCACTTCTCTATGCTGTGGTTATAGCATGCCTTTCCATGACCAGCGTATTGCTTGGGTGCTAGTGATTTAAAGTTAGGTTATCAGTGGGTGAACCCATCGTGGTCTTGACCTCTTTGCTCATATTCTCACCCCTCCCACTCTTCACCTGGACTTTGGGAACTCAATTCAGTGCTCCAGTGCGGGTCTCAGCCTCTGTTTGCATCAGTTGCTGGATGAAGGTTCATGTTCATCTTTCTGGGTCTGGGTTACCTCACTTTGGGTGGTTTTTTATAATTCTATCCATTTGTATGCAAATTTCAAGATGTCATTGTTTTTTAATGCTGAGTAGTTCTCTAATGTGTAAGTGTGTTACCTGAGCTACTAGAGTTCACCAACTCCAGCTGGACAGGAAAGGAAACAGCATAGGTCCAAACTAGACCCTCTGAATGTGGGTGACAGATGTATGGCTGGGAAAGACCGCTGGGCCACTGGTAATTTATCCCTACTGCCTGTATTAGCTTTTCTGGAACCTATTCTCTTTGGATGGATACCTTGCTCAGCCTAGGCCTTGGACCTTCCCCAAAACAATGTGCCTTACCCTCTCTGTGGAATGAATGGTGGGTGGGATGGGGGTTTAGGTAGAGAGAAGGGGATGAGGGGAGGAAGTGGGAATGGGATTGGTATGTAAAATGAAAAAAGATTGTTGGGGTTTTTTTCTTTAAAAATAAATAAATAAGAATTTTAAAAAATGAAGTTAGGTTGTCATGCTTTCAGGGCAAGGGCTCTTGCCCACTGAGCTGTCTCTAGTTCCTCTTGTCTTGTTTAGAGATAGGGTCTTGGTCTGTATCCCAGGTTAGCCTGGAGCTTGCAGCAGGCCTCATGCCTCTGCTTCCTGCAGTGCTGAGATTATAGGCATGAGCTATCACTCCCAGTGGCAGCTGCAGCTGCTATAGCTGCTGCCAGCAGCCCCCGCAGCTGCCACTCCTCCTCCTTCCCTGCCCTGCACCCTCTTCTCTTTTGAAAAAGTAACTATCTAGTAATTCATTGTAACCAGTGTCCTGTTTGTTGAAGGACTTTGAGTTTCCATTCTTTCTATACAAACTGCTACAAATTGTCTTTTGCATATGCGTGTCAATAATACAGCTATTTTGAAATGCAACTGCAGGGAAGAAAAGTAAGGTGCATGTGTAACTCCGGTAGATACTGCCTTATCACCCTCCTCTATATAAACTGCAGGGAAGAAAAGTGAGGTGCATGTGTAAGTTCGGTAGATACTGCCTTATCACCCACCTCTCTATAAACTGCAGGGAAGAAAAGTGAGGTACATGTGTGACTTCGGTAGATACTGCCTTATCACCCTCCTCTATATAAACTGCAGGGAAGAAGCATGTGTAACTGTGCCAAGTAATAATCTCATCTATAGGTTTTGTTTGTTCTTTTTTTTTTTTTCAAGCAATTTCTTACTCTAACCAAGACTGACTTTGAATTCAGAACAGTCCTCTTTCCTGCCTTGGCCTCTTTGAATACTTGGGATTACAGGTGTGAGCTGCCATGCTTGCCCCTCCTCCTCAAGCCCCATAATCTCTCAGAGTGCTTGATCTTGTAAACAGTTGCATGTGCGTGTGGATCCGGGAGGCTAAAGACTACTATAAGAACATTTGTGTTTCTGTACATTCTCGATGGCTGCCCATGTGCTTTATCTCTTTCTCTGCATGGTTCTTAGTAATTATACAGACAATCTTTATGAATTGGAAAATTAACTTATAATAGGAGTTTCTTGTCATTTTTTCTTTTGACTTTGTTGAGCATCACTTTTGTCATAGAACTTATTTTAAGTCAGAATTACACCTTTCCTTTTATGGTTCTTAGGCTTTGTGTCATCAAGATCATTTCCTGCTTTTATATTTTAGTTTTATACATTTAAATCTTTGAATCACTAGGAAATTTAATTCCAGATGACCAACTTCTATGCTTTCAATATGGACATTAAAGCCAACTTTATTTGTGTGTGTGGGGGTGTTGATATATACCCTAGCTGTCCTGAAACTCCCTGTATAGACCATGTTGGCCTCGAATTCACAGAGATCAACCTACCTCTTCCTCCCAAGTGCTGGAATTGAAGGAGTGAGCTGTAACACCCAGCAG